GGAGAGTCTCTGCTTTAAATCTGTATAACAAGTGATACAGCTGGACTTTAACAACAACACTGAGGTTGAACTGTGTATCCCATACTTAAGGTAACCTTCTTTTTCATGGGGGTTAGTTCCCCCTACCAGTAACATTTTGTTGTGTCTTTGTTCTTCTCTAGTGATGTTAATTTGCGAAAATCACAGTTCACTAATGTTTTGCTAAAGAAAATAAATCTTCAGTTACATTGGGTTTCTGAAGGTCTGTTTGTGTTTCAGATTTTTTGCATGGCCAGAACTTTTAGTGCTTAGCAAGATGACTAGATACAGTGTTTGGCTATCAGTAACGAAGAACTGATTTCAGTTTGGGGTATGTTATTTCTGTGACTAATCGGCCCAGATTCCAGTATGCATCAGTTAGAATACAGGAGTAGTCACTGGAGTACTTTCCATGTAGCATCTATCTGCAATCAGCATGTGTACTTGGATGTGAAAAATACTTGTAAACAAACTTGAAGAATTTAAAGGGAGTGACACAAACTGAACTCTTAATGGTAGTATTTACTGGTTAGAGCTTATTTCTTTCATTCACTTGATTTCTTTAAATTGCATTCAGTTTAGACCTTGACTGCTATGTCAAACTGTATTCCAGATAGCATTTACCAGCGAGATCATGGGCAACAGATGTCACCATGGAAGATTTCATGAGCATTTGAGAAAGGAAAAGTGAGAGGAGTTTTATAGATACTATCTTATATCTTGACAGATACTAGTTCTGTATCATAAAGTAAACATGTAAGTCAGCAAATATTTTTGGAGATTTCCCCTCTTTTCAGGGTCTCAAAGTTTATATCCTTGATAAGTGGCAGCCAGTTAGCTCCCAATATGTGCTGGTACGTGGAATTAATTACTCCCCAGGGTGAGGACTATACTTTTCCTGTTGTTGAAATTCTGAGGTTCTTGTTTGCCCGCTTCTTGAGTCTGTTGAGGTCCTTCTGGGTGGCAGTACAACCCACTGACCTTTCAGCAAGTTTTGTATTATTTTTGAAGTTTCTAAGAGTACACTCTGCCAAGTCATCCAGGTCACAGGTGAAGATGTTAACCAGTATTGGATCAAGTGTCAGTGGAAAACAGTGACTGACTTCAAGCTAGACTTCATGCCACTGATCACAACCTATTGAGTCTGGCAGTTCAGCTGATTTTCAGTCTACATCACTGTCCCACTTAACTAGTACTTTATACTTACCTGTGATGCATTTAAATACAGGTAGATGTACATAATGTGCACTTTGTGAAGATACTGTGGAAGAGTGTCAAGTCGTACTGAAGCTGAGATAAATATACACTGCCCTTCTCCACCAAGGCATTCACATTGTAGAAGACTATTAGTTTGGTCAGACATTATTTCTTTCTTATAAATTCATGCTGACTACTTCCAGTCACCTTCTTGTCATTCATGTGACCAGAGGAGATTTTCATTATTAGTTCCCAGAAATAGAGTTGAGGTTTCTGGCCTCTGTTTGTCCAGAGAGCATGACTTTTCTTGCTGCTCTTGAACATAAGTGATATTTGCTTCCTCCCACTTCTCAGAAACCTCCCCTGTTGCCCATGACCTTTCAAAAACAACTCAGAGTTATCTTTCAATGACATCCATTAGTTCCCCCAGCACTTGTGGGTGCAGTCTTTTAGTCCCTGTGGACTTCTGTTGGTGCAGTTGAAATGTTGCTCAGGGTGATCCTACTCCACTCTGGTAAGTGTTCTTTTTTCTGGACTTTCTATTGTCTCATAGGCGTGCTGTAGTAGAAGGTCAGTTGTACTGGTAAAGACTGAGGCAATGAAAGTACAAAGTATTCTGTCCTTTTCTGTGTCCCTCGTCCAGGTTTCTTGCCATGTTAAGGAGTGGGTTAATGCTTTTCCCAGTCTTCCTTTTGCTGGTAATAACAGTTGTATGGATCTTTTTGTTGTCCTTCAGATGTCTCATAAATTCAATTCCAGATGAGCTTTAACTTTTCTATCCTTGTCCACGCACGATTGGACATGATTTATGTCTTCCTGCTTGCACACCCTTTACACTTTATTTTTGAGTTTAATCCCTTCATCCAGGTAGGCCTCCAGAGGCCTACTTTTGAGGATTGGCCTTTGAGTTGGAGGACGTGATCCTTCAGCCATTGGAGTTGGTGAGTAAGGACATTCATGTGGTTTCTAGACTGAAGAAGCTGTTCTAGCGGCTTGCTTTGTAAGAAATGTGGTATCCACACCTGTTCTTCTAGGCTGTGGTAATCACCAGGGAGGTCTATCAGGACAATATATCAGTAAGAAGGGAGAATTTTAATTTCATTCTCAGCACTACTGAACTTGAACTGTAGATCAGATAGACCTTGTGACTTGGTTAATTGCTTTTAGCCTGCCTTAGTGTCACTGACCAGGAGGGAAAGAAGTTTTAGCTATTAAGCATTGCCTCATAGAGCACTTATTTGACTTAAGGTATTTCTTTGCTTTTTGTGTGTCTTTCTCTCTTGCTGAAGAACACAACTCTCCTATTTTTGCTTACATTGTACTTCCGCAGCTTTATTCTGTCTAATATGTTGAATCAGAATTACTTTGACAGATAGCAGTGGGCGGCTGGATGGTAAGTCAAATTACTTCATTTGATTGCTTAGAAAATGGAGCTATTTCATCTATCACCAACTATAGAACTGCTTCTAGAACAAAGACTAGGTAGTTTGAACACTAGGAAAACAGTAGCACCATAAAATGCAGCTGAGGGATTTTGGCAATACTTGGGTTGTCATCTACACATACAGACTTCTTCTGTACTGTTTGAAAGGAGTGTCTGTGGCTTACTTTCTGCAGTTCTGAGTGCTTGCAAGCAAGTGTGCTTAGAAAACAGATTAATAGGTATTATTTGAGTTCATAGTTGACATGAAGTCCACAGTGCCTCCTCAATCTTCAGCAAATCATGAGGTTTTTTGAGTTTCTCAGTAGTGAAACGTTGTTTTATCAGCAGTTGCATAGCTTACTTGCTAAATATAGATAAATGACCATTTTTCTTCCTTCCATAGCTGATGAGCTCACAGGGATTCTGACTTCTCTTCAGAGGGCCTTGACCAAATGCATATGGAAAGAAAAACTTGTCTGACAGCTTAAATAGGGCTGAATAGTTTCCAGTTTTCAACGTATCTCGTTCGTTGAGATTTAAAAACTGACAGATAAGATGCACCAGTGATGCAACTATACCTATTTTTCATCTCATTTTTCCATAAGTAATGTCTATCCTCCCCTGCTTCCATTGACATCTAACTTTACATTAACAGCAGTTCAATTCATTCAGTTACAAAATGGACTTTGTTCTACTACACAGTTAAATTTGCAGAGGTGGAAGGATTCCTTTAAAAAAAAAAAAACACTGATAAGAATGGCTTGTTCTGCAAATACAGGAAATTACTGTCTAGTTCAGTCTGCTTGGCAATCAGTCTCCATTCTGTGGCCCTGCGCCTCCTTCAGGTCATCTTGCCATATGTGGCATGGATCTTTGTCTTAAACAGCAGGAGCTGTTGTAGCCAAGTGGGCAATTTGGGAAAGTTCTTACATTCCTTTGCTGTTCTATTTTTCTACCTCTTGGGTAGCCATCACTGTTCATGTGTCATCTTTGGCTGAACACAGAACATCAGCTATCTCCTTTAGCTGAATGCTTGCAAAGTTTACTCAATTCTCCTGTGTTCAGCACAGTGTACTTCTGACTCTCTGCATCTGAGAATATCATAGGTGTATACTTTTGCCTATAGAAGACCAGAAGGTAGAACCTTGAAGGATTACACCAGTGTTCAGGATGCTGTTTGTTCCATCTCTGGGGTGCCCTATCAGTTACCTTTTGTTTTGCTTCCACAGGAGTCTTCAAAGTCTGCTGATCTGCATGGAAATGAGACAGGGGAAGGATTCAAAAAGAAATGTCAAAGGATTAGGCAAAAGTTAAATTTAGAAAGTTAACTTTCAGATTACCAGAGTTCACTAATGCTGCATTGCAGGGAGGGAAGAAAAGGAGATAAATCTGACCATTCTTGAGGCTCTTTTTCACCTTTACATTTTTTATGGTGCAAAGACCAAATAATGTATTTTTGTCCTGTCCTGCTCCACAGGCATGGACATTCTGTTCAAATATTCCTTTTAATAAGGACACTTGCACAGACTTGAGTGGGAGGTACTGAACTCTTCAACATGCTGTGTTTGTAACAATTTTCTAAGGACTGAATAATTTATAATCTTAATAATTCCTGACACGTTGAGTCAGCAGGTTAAAACTTCTGTGAAAGGACCTGAGAAGCTCACTGTTATTTGGTATTTAGTTGTAAGATGTCAGTGTTGCAGAGCTTGCCAAGCTACTGAGCAGCTGAAATGCATGTTGCATTCCTACTGCCATTCATTCTTAAACCTATAAAAGTGATGCAGCAGAGTGTATCTTGACCTCCTGAATGATTGTCATTTGTTGGCAAGTTCAGTGCACATACAAAAGGCACAGCACTTGAAAAGCACCTGCAAACTTCTGAGTGCTTTGGACTGTTTCTGTGTTTTCTGACTTGGTTATCAAAGTGAGATCTTTATTCCTTTTGGTTTATAATGTTTTTTTTAATGATAAAGGAAACAATTCTGACTCTTCTTGTGTTTTTAATCTAGTAGTAAGACAGCAGAGAACACTTATTCATCACCAAGTCTTGCTGGAGTGTGTACATAGCTTTTCTCCTTTATTTGAAAGTAATCATAGAATTATAGGGTAGTTGAGGTTGGAAGGGACCTTAAAGATCTTTAAATCATTTATGAATACATTTAGTCAGCTTCTCTGTGGTTTATGTAGCATTCCTTTACTCTTTTCACAGAAGCCAGCACCAAAAACCCACTTAGCTGGCTTTGCAAGGTAATTTTTCTGGCAGAACTTAAAAACTTCTCAGTGCCTCAGAACAAATGACACTGTGCTATTTCAACTGGTTTTGAAGTGGTTTAATTTTTTTACTTTTGTTTTTCCTAAGGTTTCCTATGCACGACCAAGTTCAGCTTCTATCAGAGATGCAAATTTGTACGTTAGTGGACTTCCAAAAACAATGACTCAGAAAGAACTGGAACAGCTCTTTTCCCAATACGGTCGCATTATTACTTCTCGTATTCTGGTTGACCAAGTCACTGGTAAGTAGGCGGTTTTGCAGTTCTCTCATTTTAAGACTGGCAGTTTAAGAAATATTTCACCTGACAGTACAATAGTCTTGCCTGTAGTATGTACAAAAGGTGTATGTAGGCCAAAACCTGCAATTTTCTGCTGAAATTGTTCATAAATATGCATGGACAAAAATAGATTTGAGTGTACTGAGCCGGCTTGAGTTTTTTCCACCCTGAAGGTGCAGGTTTGAAGCCTGTTTCATGGCTTGTAATAAATTTACAGCTGCTGTAATCTTTTCCAAGCTGCTGTGTGGAAATAGTCTGTGTGCCATATGAAATGCTGTTGAACACTTTTTCATAAAAATAAAATTTTATGCAGAAATACACAGCAAATTCTCTGACACTAGGATTACAAAAGGCTCGGACTGGTAACTGCTGTTAAGACTGTTTTCACAGCTGCCCCTCTAGCGTTGGGCACACTGAGGAGCATGAACTTTGAGTTTCATTGGGAGAAAATACACTCTGTGCTTGGTGCCTTAAAAAAGTAAGCTCTAGCAAGTTAGTTGGATTGTTACAAGTAGTGAGTTGGGTTTCAGTGACGCTCTGTGGCTGCTCTTTAGACTTGGGCAGTAGTGGATGTGTTTCCTGGCTCAAATTACTGATCTTGAGGAGTTTTCTAATTTGCTGCCTCACCTGCTTGCAGTGGGCCTGTTCCAAAAAGAAGCAATCAAATGAAGTGCCAAGTCGGTGACAGCATATTGAGTGTGCAAAGTTAAATGTAAAGGAGCAGGGCTCTCAAATTCTCATCTTTCCAAAACACTAGGGCTGTGGGGCAGAAGAATTAATTTACTCATATAATTACTACCTGAATAATAAGCTAGCTTGGATTTGCTTCTGAAGTTTTACCTTTTCAAAGTGTCATGTGATAGTAGTTAACAAACAGCTTTCAGCTGTAGGAGGTAATAAGTTTTCAGGTGGTCTCAATTCAAAAGGATTGTGCTTGCCAGTGTTTGACACTTGGCTGACCTGTAGAGAACCTTGTATGTACTCCTTTGCGGTTCCATTATGTTAACAGCAATCTTGATACTGACACAATGTTTATGGAGTATTTCAATAGTGTGAATCAGTGAGAGTGTAAAAAGGCATGGAAAGGAAATTGAGAGGCCAAAGTGACTTGCAGAAGCAGCAGATGCGCAGGTCAGATTTCTAGTGGTTGTGCAATCAACAGCTGTTTATAGTATGTTCCTGTATATTCATGCATAGAAATGGCAGGCTTTGACAAAGGGGCCAAATAAGTAGATGTAGTTAGAATTACAGGACAAGATTAGTTTAAGTACTCATAAATCCTGATATGTGCACAGTAGTTCTGTAACAGACTGATGTTCAGGTTTAAGCTCTTTTCCCTCTTTATTAGTAATTTGGAAGAGGTGGACTCAAATTGGTAAAAATAATGAGGTTGTGACACAAACTGACAGATGAAAAATGGAAAGTTGAAGCTCTGACATGTGCCTCGTAAAAGCTTTCTTACACCTGCGCATTGTTACTTTGGTGTTTTAAATTGTCTTTGTTTATGAACAGAACACATTTCTTATCTCATTAATGTCTTAAGTGATGAGGACATGCATCTAACTTGTCTACTCATGAACCAAAGTGTAATGGGCCTCTAAATGGATTTAGGAATATTACAACAAAGATTACAACTGATTAGTGTTGGCTGTAGTTAAGTTAATGTTAATTGGTTCGAGTGTGTTTAGTTTAAGCCACAGTATGAAGTTTTGAGGTTCAGTGTTCCAGAGGCCTACTGACATTTGCTGATCCCCTTGCATGTTGTCTTTGACTTTTCTATACCAAAGAAGAATCTGTGGCCCAAGAAAAATTTCCTTCAAAAATACACTAGGTATGGTGGTATGCTGAAGCTGAATCTTTTACTTAGCAGTAACTGTGGGCTGTTAAAACAGGGTGGTAGTTCCCATTACTGCAGTCTAAACCTTGCACTCCATTCTATTTCAGCTTACTTGATCCAAACCAAACTTCTCAAGGGGTGCTGAAGGGCAGCATAAGCCATTTGTTGCTGCTAGGGAGTAGATGACTTAAGTTATTTACAGAATTTCTGTGAATTCAGATACTGTAGAGTAGCATGAACTGAACAGAGACTATATTGCAGCTGGTTCCAGGCTCACCTTCATCCCTTCCAAAAGGGCTTTGTTTCAGAATTAACCTTAAGCTCAATATATTTGTTTCCACTGGTTTTTTTCCCTTGATTTTCCAAGGTTTCTACATAATCTGTCTTATATAAGAGAAACTTAAAGCCTAAACAATAAAAAAACCCACCCAAAACCCCACAAAATTACGCTATAAATGTTTGGGGTTTTCTTCTGGGGGGGATGTGTTTTTTGAGCAAAAGCTCAGTTCTAGTAAGTTCAAAATTATAATGTGTTCACAGCAGTTGGCCATTAGTACAGCAATTTGCTATGAAAGTTAGATGTTAATGTCTAATATGTCAGAATCTCTGAATTAATTTTGTTTCCTTCACCCTGTGTAGGGGTATCAAGGGGTGTGGGGTTCATCCGGTTTGACAAGCGAATTGAAGCAGAAGAAGCAATCAAGGGCTTGAATGGCCAGAAACCTCCAGGTGCCACAGAGCCCATCACTGTAAAGTTTGCTAACAATCCAAGCCAAAAAACCAACCAGGCCATCCTTTCCCAGCTGTACCATTCTCCAAACAGAAGATACCCTGCACCTTTAGCTCAGCAGGCTCAACGTTTCAGGTAAGTGACATACTTGTGTTCAACTGTGCTGGAAGCCACATGTTCCTATGGACCATGCTTGCTTCCCTCCACTGTTGCCCTTCCCTGCTTGTCAAATTTGTGCATTTGAAGGAAACACATAGATGTGTTGAACTTTGTGCTCCTACAATACAGCTAAAAGCAAAAATGCATTCCTTCCTATTTGATAGCGTTTTAGAATCTCATAAAACTACTTAGAGGTAAACTGAGATTACGTATTGTTCTTCTACATAGTCACAAAAATAAAAATCCTTTTCCAAAGGTTATTTTTAATATCCTAGATTATTGTTGATTAATGTGCAAGTTCACTCAGTTACCATTGACTTAGGCAATTCCATTTTCTTAGCCATATGACATGGCACAGCCAGCCTTCTCTATCCCACCCCCTATCTTTACTCTGTGTTGTGGTTTACAGTTTCTTCCTAGTCAGTTGTCTAAACATCCTGCATGCCACAGTTGTCTTTTCTTACTACAAACTTTTGTAATGAAGATTCTCTGCATGTATTTTTAGTGGGTATATGTTCCCATTGTGTTGAAATTACAGCCATACTATTCCTTGTGATATTTAGTATATTGAAAAGGACAGATGGTGACAACAGAGTGAAACAAATACTGCATTATCTACACTTGGGAGCACCTCAGATTTTGTCAGCGATTTGCATATTTTTTTCCCACCCTCTGCCTCTGGGCGCTGTGACTGGAATGTGTTGAACAGTAATATACTCAGTTTCTATCTTATTTTTCAGTAAATAAATACAGATGGCAGTTTGTTTCAAAGAGAATATACTAAACTTCAAAAGAGTTGCATTGGCTACTCTTGATTTGAGGACTAACATTCAGAGATCATGGACTGCACTTCTGGCACAACTTCTTTTCTTAGGTTTTCAGCCTTACATGCTGGAAGTGTCTCAAATGTGTGAAGGTCAGCACTTGAGTAGCCTTTCTGCCCAAAGGGAAGGATTAACCAATTTTATTCAGTATTTTGTGGATTTTATTACCATTTTTTCAGGGAGTAAGAGTTAATCTAAAAAGTGTGCTGAATATTGAATAAAAGTAGGCTTGCCACTGGTCCATAGGCAGAGCATAGGGGCAGAAACTGTACTTGAAGGATGGACCCAAGTGCATTGTTTTAAGTAAGATGAGAGAGCTGCTGTACAGCCTGTGTGTTAAAGCATTCAATATTGGCCTTGGCCACCTGGACACACTGCTGGCTCATGTTCTACCAGCTGTTGATCAACACCCCCAGGTCCTTCTCTGCTGGGCAGCTCTCCAGCTACTCCTCCCCAAGCCTGTAGCACTGCCAGGGTATTGTTGTGGCCTTATTGCAAGACCCCACATTTGGCCTTATTGAAACGTGTGCAATAGGCCTTGTCCCATCAATCAAGCCTGTCTAGATCCCTCTGTAGACTTCAGTAGTCTTCTGCTTAGTTTCATCTGCTTGTTCACTGTGTTACCTGTGTTCACTATTACTCTGATACTGGCTGGGATGGGATCTGTATTTAACTGATACTCCAGGTAGCTGTATCATGATTTATAAAAATTCTTCCACTTTTGGAGTTTTTCCTTTGAATAGTACCTAAAAGGTTCTTTGCATTTCAGTAATTTCAACAGACTACCCCTGTTCTGCAACATAAGATGTTGAACCTTAAAAAATTATCTGTTTGTGATTTTTTTAAAAAGGAAGTGTACTGTTATGAAGGCCCATTTAAATTTTCTGATATTAAGTGTCAAGTGACACCTGAAACAACTATAAGAGATACTGTTGTTGGTTTCATTTCCAAGTATAATGGTAAAAAAAGCAATGAGTAGGTTCCAAATCTGTAGTGAATAGGAGGGCAAGTAAAATCTTTCTCACTTTCATCTGTGTGGAAGGAAGAACAAGGTTGAATTGACTAGTCAAAAGTTAAACTGGGGTTGCAGACAAACTTAATTTCTTTTAATAGTTTTTTTGGGAAGGCTTTTGGGCTTTTGTTTCTTCTTTAAAAGAGACAGCCTTGCCAAATTTTAAGTTTTTATAACTTTAGGAAGGGAAATCTGTCTTTTGGGATTTTTAGGTCTTCGCTGTTACAGCATTCCAGCTCTGTTGCTGACTATGTAGTTCAGTTTGCGCCAGTGCTTCAGATCTTCTGTATCATTCACATGGAGGAATCTTAACCTGTTGATATTTCAGACAGGATTCCCAGGTGTAGTTGTCCTGTCTCTGTTGACAGGGGCCTGATAAAGGAGTCAGCATAAACTTCTAAGTAGTAAAGAACAGCAGAATCACTACAATGCTTCTTATTTTCTCACTAAGAAAAATCTTCAGCTGGTCTTTTAAAAGCAGCTATATATGTTGTTCCTCAGTTTCTGTGGGATGTGTAACTTAAAGCAACTCTAAAAACTTCTCAGTGAATGTCCCTGAGAGTTTTTCCAGAATATCCTTTAAGTCATCCAGGGAACTCATGAAAACTGTTAGGGTGATACCACCAGTGCTGTATGATGTCGTCAGCTGACTGCTCTACAGCAAGAACCCGTAAATGGTGGTGTTTCTGGAGCTCTGCACCTTCTCTCCACATCCAAATGTACACCTCTAATCCACATTAAACCTACTGATAGTAGTCACACTTTTTTAATTCCCTCTTTTCGGCTCTTTCAGGGGTCAGTGATTTGCTTTCCTGTCAGTGCAAACTGCAAATGCTGATCACTGCTGAATTGTGATCCTCTGTCATTGGAGAGCTTTACTTGGCTGCAAGGCCAAATGTTTTTTGTGCGCAAGAGTAGTTAAACTACTTCATGATATGAGTCTGAGTTCTATATATGAGTAATTGTTTTTTAATCCTGTATCTCATTACTGCGGAGAAATCACAATAAGGTACAGATCTTTAAGGTCACTGTAAATTGAAAACTAAATCAAGAGTACCTTTTTTACCTAAGCTAATATTTTGTGGAGTCCTAGGAGAACCTTTAACAAGACTTTCTCTTCACATGTCTGGGCTTTGCCAGGAAGAAACTAGAGCTTCTTTAAGGTAGAAATTTTCTTAGGATCTTCAGGAGTACTATTAATAGGGTTCAGAGGCAGTGCATGTTCTGGATATTGGTTAGGTAATTCTGCAGGGAGAACGTGAGTGAATAAATAAATGAAGAAAGCTTACAGTCTAATACGTATGTGCGTATATTCTAAACCCTTTCATTCTGGAAAACGAAAATTCTTTTTTGCAGTTCAAGCTCTAAAATATTTTACTCCTCCATAACTGTGCGTCTGTCAGAATCAGGAGATCATCAGACACCTCTGTAAAGTCTTCATCTAATACAAGTTTGTAAGCTGGAAGATTTCACTGAGGTGGTCACTGGCTGTAACTTTATGCTACCAGCATTTTATTTAGGCTAAACTTGTGGTAATGGTGCACTTTTTGAACTGAACTATTCATGGTTGTGGATACTACACAAGAACTTCTATGCTGTATTCACTAACTATATCAGGTGTAATAAGGAGCCATATCACTTTCAGTGGTGATACTTTTCATGAGGTTCTGTAGAGTGCAAGGGACATGGCAGTAATATACCAAGTTTCAGAAAGATTAAAGGGTGGAAAAGTCTGAAGACTGAATGCTTTGCTAAATATTTTGCAGGTTGGACAATCTGCTCAACATGGCTTATGGAGTAAAGAGGTAATAAAGGACTATTAGGTTCATAATAAACAAATTAAGTATTTTGTATATTCTTTTTCAGTAAGACATGTTGGATTTTTGCATGTTGGGACTTGAGCTGAGATTGTTCATTTTGGCGCATTGTGCATGAAAGAGACAAACCTTTTGTAGCAGTTCCTAGGAATTAGTGTTTCAAATGGCTGGTTTTATAGCACACTCTTTTGTTTTTCTGTTACTTCATTTCAGACAGACCTAGCACAGTTCCCCCTACTTGTGTATAGTATTGTACACAGTTTTTGTGAAGATGGGGAAAAAAGTTACCTTATGAGGCTTGCCAGTATTTTCATGCTGTGAAAAGTTCTGTGTAACTTTCTTTTTATTTTGAAATTTATTTGCTGAAATTTTCTCTGAGCAGCTACTTCATGATTCTGTTTTGGTTTCCCCCATTCTTTAGTAGGTTTCCTCCAATGACAATTGATGGAATGACCAGTTTGGCTGGAATTAATATCCCTGGACATGCAGGAACTGGATGGTGCATTTTTGTGTACAACTTGGCCCCTGATGCTGATGAGAGTATCCTCTGGCAAATGTTTGGACCCTTTGGAGCAGTAACCAATGTGAAGGTCATCCGTGACTTTAACACCAACAAGTGCAAAGGATTTGGATTTGTGACTATGACAAACTATGATGAGGCAGCAATGGCAATAGCCAGCCTGAACGGATACCGCCTTGGGGACAGAGTACTGCAGGTCTCCTTCAAAACAAACAAAACGCACAAAGCCTAACAAGTTATTCTCAGTGCATTAATACATGAAAACTATACAACAAAGGCAATTTACAAGAAGCTTTGTGCATTAGTAAATGCCTTTGTTGTATGCCAGTGTGGAAATGGGGATAAAATGACTACTTAGCATCCTAAGAATACGTGAGATTTTTTTATTGCTAATATTTGAATTCAAACTTCTTAAATATCTTTTGTGTTTGAATACTGACAAGAGGTACAGGGTTTTTACCTGTCACGATGCATATTCTATTACCTTCTTTGAAGAAGGTGGACCTTTTAAAATGTTTCAGCTAAGGGAAGAAGTTTTTTCTTTTTACTTGACTGCCTTTAAGCTATGAGTAAATACTGAGGCTTTGTGTTATACTTTTCAAGTTGTTTTTTTATGTTACTTGATTTGCCTTGTGTTTAATTTACACTTTACCGCATTGTTCTTTTGTTGTTCAAGGAAAGTATTTGAAGTTTACATTTTATTTATAAAGTTATAAGCAGTATTTATTTTATAATTATCATTTGGGTTGGGGAATGGGAACATATTATAAAAGCTTATTGTAAGAATACTGGAAAACTTTTCATAAAGCAGTACCTTGCCAAAGAGATAAGAGCCTCTTTGATGTGGGTTTAAAAAAGCATCTATTTTTATAAAAAAAAAAATAAAAAAATTTGGAGAAACTTTTTACTGGTCCTGGAACAAATATTTTGACTTGAATACTTTGAGAAGTCTCTTCATATGACACCTAGTGAGCTTTTAAAACTTACCAGGAAACTTGCAGTTGTTGGGGGAAAATTTAGAAAGGTTTATGATGTAGAAATGCTTTTGAGACCTTTGTATTAAGAAGTAGAGTCAAGGGGCTGCAGTGTTGGTTTCGTTTTTGTAATCATCAGTGGAGTCTTTGGTCATCCTGGTTATTAAGTGATAGGTGGCTCACATAACTTGTGATTTTGAAACAAATGAAAAATTAAAAAGAATACAAGAGCAAGCAGGAAACTCAAAATACTGAGATGGGGGAAAAAAAAAATCTGTTCTTCCTAAAGAATTCCCTTCAGATAGAGCTCATGGTGTTTAGTGATGTACTTGCTATTGTTTGAAGAATTGTTTTGTCTTAAGAAAAGACATTGAACATGGTTTGCAGAGTAGCAAATCAGCAGAAGTGGCCTGCGTTGGGTATATTTGAAGGTATTTTGAAAGTTATGTTCAAGGCTAACACCTGAGCTTTGTGTAATGTAAATAAGACCTTGAGTTATAAGCCTTTCAGCTAATTTTGATTTTAGTTGATTTTTTAAGTTACCTGCCAAGTGATGTTCAATTTTGAATGTTTTTGTATGAGTTTTTTCTTTGTAAATGGCATTAACATTGTTACTTGAGGTCTGCTTATTAATTTTTGTTGTCCTGAGGACTTGAATTTACAGTGCATCGGATCTGTTGCTATTTTTGTCTGTAGATAGTCTAGCTTCAGCTGTTTATGGTGATGCTACATTTTTGTTTATGAATATGTTTGTGGTAAAAACGAGTATAGTCATAGATTTTGGACAAATTTCCTTACATTTTTCATACAAAAACCATAAATACCTGTATGCTATTGAAATTTAACTTTGTATGATGCTTAAATCACTATTTGGGGAAATAGAAAAAGTCTTTACCATGTATTGAAATTTAAGGAAAAAATAATATTTTCTGATTAGCATCTAGCTTATAATTAAATTTTTTTTAAAAGCTGAGGGTTTGATGCCTTCACCAGGATGCACTGACAACTATATAGTTACATCCTGCTTTTTGTAGAAACTGAGATGCTCATATGCTTCCCCTTAGAAAAAGCAATGTTCTATGCATAACATAGTTGTACACTATCTTTGCAATTGCTTTTGGTTCTTATTCTTTTAATTGTAGTTATAAATTTTTCAGTATAGTACAGTACATATACTGTGAAGCGCGTGATAAAGTGAATAAGCAAGTTTTCATGCTGACCCACTCAATGCTATTCAAAAATCAATTGGCTTCCTGAGCACTTCCTCATTCTTAGGTGCATTTAGATTGTTAAAGCTAATCCTCTGCATTAAAAATTGTATATACTATAGAAATCACAAACTTTCCAATGTGGGGAAAACAGTAGCTACAAGCTTCTTTCCTATACTACTGTAGCAACTAACGGCATTGATGAGAAGGCATGTAAATTTGGCTTCACTTTACAGTGTTTATCAGAGCATTTAGTAAAATATAAGGCTGGTATTTATTTGAAGTTGTATAGTATGACTTAATTCACATCTGTTGGAATAGAAAATATATTCTGTTGAGTATTTAAGAGGTTGTACATGTTTTCTTTTGTGTTTTGATCCTTTGTACTTTTTCATGTTCAGTACATCAATAAACAAAGTTGAAGGGAAAACAGCGTCATGAGCAGGTCTTTTCCCATATTGTCCTCTGCTCTAATGTGTCAGCAATCTGAGTGAAAGGTTTCCACAGAGTTCTTGAGCTCCTTCTAACTTAGCTTAGGGTCCTAGTTACCAAACAAGGAGGTAAAACAGTGGAGCTCTGTGCCAGTTCTATTATGCTTGAATTCATGTTGAATCTTTTCGCTTGGATTTTTTATGAACAACTCAGTACTTAGGCTGATAAAATTAATGAGGGCAATTAAACACGTTCAGTAAAAACTAATTTGCTGTCTGTCTAGCAGACTACTCAGTGTAGCTGTTAATGCTCTAGTGTGTTAGGATAAATATAGAGGAAAAGGAAAGATTTAGTCTTTAGTGCAAAGTCCATTTACTGTTTAAATACTGTATTAATTTCTGGGCTACATTAATTCTTTTCACCTTAGTTCACTGTTCTTTTCCCTTCCCAGCTCTTCAAGAAATTCTTTGATAATTAGACAACTGTCTCTTACACTTTTAAAGTACACGGAGTCCTAAATTTATTTACTTGTCTTAGTTGAATGAGAGTGAATTTCCACTTAATACACTTCCAAAAGTAGCTTCCTCAGTGTAGCTTTTCTCGCTAACTTTTTTCTCACCTTCCCTTGTACATATTTACTATGAGATCTTTTGATACAAAACCTTGTAGTGTGTGGTTTGGAGCATCTCTCATCACTACAGTGTTATGGGGTAGAGTTTAACTGGATGCTGGGGTCATAACTGTGAACAACACACACAGGTAATAGTACTTCAAGATGTTAGTCGTTACTGGTCTTTACAAACTGACTCTTTATATTTAACAAAACAGTGTGTCCTGATGACTACTTCTGTGGTTATGTTCTTTGGTGGCTGAAGTAATGAAAGATGCAAGGTAGAGTACTTGGCAGCAGAGAGGGACCTATATTTGGAGCTTATATCCCAGCAGGGACAACTGTGTGTTCAGCTTGCACTGTTTCACAGAAGCATAGCTTTATTTCTCAACTTAAACCAGTTTGAGAACAGTGTAACTAGCCATGCTTGAATTACTTTGTTACATGGAAATGAGGACAAAATGTGTTTATATAACTGCTTTCTCTTTAAGATGAAAACTACTTATATTTTGTGAGCTGCAGATAAGCAGGCAGTCAAGGAACAACACTTAAAGGTGTAGCTGCTCAGAGAAAAAATCAGTGTTGAAAAATAAAAAATTGATTATATGTAGGTGAGCACATCTGGGTAGTTGGAGCTCATGCGTATGGGAAGCTGATGCAAATTTACACAGATAGTTCTGTGACATCTATGAAGAAGCTAAGGAAGAAAATGTGAAACTGCTTCATGCGGTGGTGGAAGAGGACAAGTTCCTTCTGTACCTCAATAAGAGTTTTCAGGAAGATCTATAAACATCTGTGCGGGACTAAGAGTGGTGGATGAGACCAGCTGGAAATACGACTGGGGCAAAGGATAAGGTTCGACTGGGAGACAATGAGTGTTAACTGGGGCCTTTTTGGAAGGGCTTCATTACTGCAAAAATATGCTTAAGTCTTGTATGGTCTCGTCTACAAAAGATGCATGCAAAGAAGTCAACCAGGACAGGTGAAGTTCCCATCTGCATCTAGAAGAGCTTTCCTTTGAAAGGGAGTGTTTTCCCAGTGTCCATGTATTTTTTTTATTTTTTTTTAAAGCAGATAGCTGTCCATTGGGTTTGTACATGGTACATATGCAGTGGCATAACACTTGGGAGTCATCAGCTACTACCATGTCTGAGATGCTTTTACCTGTACTGCTGAGCAGGCTTGACTGATGTTTAAAAGCTCTTCCCCTTTGTATTGTTACTTCAAACACACTTTGTGGAGGTAACTAAATGTATAGCAGTGATGACTTAAGTTAAACTTTGAGAAGCAGTAAATAGTTCTGATTTGTATCAAATATATAGCTTTATTTTATGACAAGCAGAGTATCTTGGAGTATTTTTTTTAGTAGTAACATTTTGAGAACTGAACACAATTTGAAATATGTTCTACCGTGTGTAAAATAGTAGCCTGGGATTGTGCTATTTACAGCCTTAGCACTGTTGATCTGTGCTTACTTCTTCCTGTATGTTGAGGTTTCCCCAGTTGTGGGATTTGGATTTCAGCGTATGCATCTCAAAACCAAAAAGAATGCACTTATTCTCACACTGAATTCTTCCTAATTAAACTTAGCTGTCAAGTAACCTGTCCACCAAAATACTGATATAATTAATAATTGTGGGCCAGCAGATACGCTAGCATGCGTGGGTGAAACAGCTTAAAACAAAGCTGAGGGAGACTGAGTATTTTGGTGGGTGGAGGTGGAACAGGTATGCTGTAGTAACGTGTAGGAAGTATGCCATTGGCGTAAAGAGCAGTTTTAATCTGCAAAGCTCAATGTTCTTGATCTTATTTTTGGTAACTGACAAAAATTGAGGATGCAATGTACACCTCCAGTTCCCTTCAAAGCAACATGAGTGACCTCAATAGGTTAAGAGGCTGAAGAACACATGAATGTTCTGCTGATAAAAGCAGGTCACGTGGCTGCTGATGCAACAGTGCTATTTGCCAACACTTACACAAGACAACATTCTCTTAATAATAAATAACCCTGAAAGCCAGTCAACTAGTTCTTGATGTCTACCTGTCTCAAAAGTTTGGTATTATCTTTTAGAAATGCAAGGTATTCTGTAGCAGTTTGTTCTGTCAGAGGAAGGAAGAGATAGGTCAAACACTTATTTCCTACTACTCTGTCTGCTTTGTGATACCACATCAAAAATAACAAGCAAAAACATGGTGGCAGACAATTTTTTCTGTCCTTAGTTAACACCGGCGCTATTCTGATGGATCCAAAACAGTTCAGTTGTACCTCTCACATCAAGCTGCCTGTCTTTCCTGTTCAACAGTTTGTATTTCCTGAGAAGTTTTGACTCCACAGAGACTTTCTGGCTGAGTCATTTCTTTCTTGATGTGGTTTGCATATTCATTGCAAACAGCTGCAGTACCCTTTCTTGATTGCCACAATCTCAGGTTTTTAGTAACTCATTTTTAAAGTAGCTGTAATACTTGCTGTAGAGGATGCCCACTCATGGTATGCATTTATTATTTTTTTTTTGTGTGTGTAGGCCAAGTATTTAGTAAAGTGGGTTTGGAATTCATCTGATTCCTGTTTGTTGTGCTGACACTCAACAGACACCCATGATATCTCTTGTGCCCCATCTCACCTCTCTGATTTGTTACTAACCAACT